AAGCCAGATGTTCTTTGTTGGGTGATATGTGTAGCTCTTTTACTGAATTCACTAGTACGAAGGTAGTATTACAGCTGCGATAAAAAGATGAGTTGGATGTACTCTGTTGGTAGATATAATTCTTCTTCACTGAATGCACTCATACGACAATAGTTAATGGTTCAAGACCGGCCATTTATGCTGTATCACATGTCTTCCTGCTATCAGTATACGGCCCCTATCTATAGTAGTGGATAAGTCGACAGTAAGGTGGTAAGTAGGTAGGTTTACAGAAGATATGTTGCTACAGCAAAGCCACTCGCTTTGTCATGGACGCCATGAACTTGACAAAAGTATCATCGTTGACGTCAAAGCTATCGAAGGTGTCAGCGGTTAGTGAGGGTGCACTCTCGGTGGAAGGCCAGTAGGTAAATACCATTGGGGAAATGTACCGATCCTTTCATTCGAGCCAATGAACAGGGGTTACATATAACTTATTTTCAGGCTAGTCTCTTCTTTCAGGCGATCTGAAGGGCGTATGTGGACAGATATGCACGCAGATAACACGGTAGACACATGGACAAGTAAGCAGCTAGGTACGTAAGTAACATGGAGGTCATGGCTGTAGGCATGCTTTCCTAATCTGCAAGCTATCCGCACCAGTCAATAGTTCTAGCCATGGGCTAGCTGGCTCACCTGTATCGGTGTAGTCACACAGCAACGATTGCCTAGCACAAACACTCCCACCAGACAGACTGTCCATTTCTCTCAGAGTTTGGGCCACACCGTCATACACTAGCGCCGTTCAGAGACACGCCTTTCCTCGCACTTAACAGCACCAACACTTCAGCTATTCATCGACAGTGGTGTATGCGCAATACTCGCTTCTTAGAGAAATGACCCACACTCACACAATCCAAGGCTTAAATGTTTATTATATTATATGTAGAAGACTAATCAGCCTCAAAGTGTTTAATATATCAACTGTAGGTTATCAAACCTCAGTGTTTATTATATTAACTGTAGGTTATCAAACCTCAGTGTTTATTATATTAACTGTAGGTTATCAAACCTCAGTGTTTATTATAATTACTGTAGGTTATCAAACCTCAGTGTTTATTACATTAACTGTAGGTTATCAAACCTCAAAGTGTTTATTATTTTATCTGTAGGTTATCAGACCTCAAAGTGTGTATTATTTTATCTGTAGGTTATCAAACCTCAAAGTGTTTATTATATTAACTGTAGGTTATCAAACCTCAAAGTGTTTATTATTTTATCTGTAGGTTATCAAACCTCAAAGTGTTTATTGTATCAACTGTAGGTTATCAAACCTCAAAGTGTTTATTATATTAACTGTAGGTTATCAAACCTCAAAGTGTTTATTATTTTATCTGTAGGTTATCAAACCTCAAGTGTTTATTATATTAACTGCAGGAGACATATCAAACCTCTCCGTTGGGGCGTGCGGATGAGACGGTCATCTTACTATGACGATCGGCCACCCCTGCGTCGCCGTCTGTGTGCTTGGCCGACGGTCTGGCGCCTCTGCGCTTGCTCAGTTCAATCTTCAGCTGCTCACTGTGTGCAATGGGTGGGGCTAGTATGTGAGAGACTGCGCAACTACGCATGTGTCCCAAAAGTTAAATATTCGCTCCGGGTGCGATCTATTACTGCGGCGAATGTGATACCGAAATCGGGTTAGAAAGTACATCCTAATGTGTGTATTAGTGCATCATGTGTGATTCTATGCATTAGGTGGCTGTTTCTAGTTCGTTGTTAGATTCGGTCTGTATTTGGTTATGAGCACAAGAGCATCCATACAGTTCTCCATATCTCGCATTCACAGGCTACGAACATTTAAGGCATGTATATTAAAAAATATCAGTATGGATTTTTCTTTCTTTAGGCATAGACTATGCTCATACATACAACGAAATATGTCACTATAAGCTATTGGTTTTGAAAATGCATATATTTGATATATATA